TCCCCCTCCTGCGGAAATCCACAACCATCTCCTTTGTCTTACTGGCGTTGAGCTGGAGGTGGTTTGTGCCACACCAGTTGACAAAGTCAGTGATGACAGTCCTGTATTCCCGCTCATCCCCTGACGATACACATCCGACGATGGCTGTGTCATCAGAGAACTTCTGAAGGTGACAGCTCCCAGAGTTGTAGCTGAAGTCAGAGGTGTACAGGGTGAAGAGGAAGGGGAGAGCACTGTCCCCTGTGGAGCCCCCGTGCTGCAGACCACCATGTCCGATACACAGTTCTGAAGCCTCACAAACTGTGGTCTGTCGGTGAGGTAGTCCACGGTCCATGCGGCTAGGTGACAGTCCACTCCCGCCCGCTCGAGCTTCCCCCTGAGCAGTGAAGGCTGGATGGTGTTGAACGCACTGGAGAAGTCAAAAAACATGACCCTCACAGTGCTGCCAGTGTTCTCCAGGTGAGCCATGGACCTCTGCAGCAGGTAGATGACTGCGTCATCCACCCCGATGTTTGGCTGGTACGCAAACTGCAGAGGATCCAGATGAGAGCTCACCAGGGGGCGGAGGTTCCTCAGCACGATCCTCTCCAGAGTCTTCATCAGGTGAGAAGTGAGTTATTAACAGTGGAAAAAAATTGGGCTTTTCGTCGAGGCTGTATTTAAGGTTATCTCTGTAACCCAGAGAGACAGTTAGCATTGACATCTGTCACAGTCAACATGGTCTCAAAACACACAATGCAACAGGCAGCAAATGTAAGGAGGCAAGATCCTTGTTGTTAGTGATTTTAAAACAAATGTATTGTCTCTATCTTAAGTCGAGCTACAGTTATAGCTTAATTAGGAGATTTAATTGGAGGACTGTCCTTGTTGCAGTTTAGCTGCAGGACACAAAGTATGTCTGTCTCTGCTATGGTAGGTGGTGATATTCTCCTTCTCAGCTCATTACCATCTCTTTTGACTGATTATGTTACAGACCAAAACTATCTGCGAACACGACAGCAAAAGGCTAACTTGGCCCTACTTCAAATAATAAAGACATGAAGCAACTTCACAGTTATGTAACATAAGTAAGTATGATTCAACAGCTCTGACTTCTTCACCTCTCTTTTTAACTATGAAGTACGGCTGCAAGATATATTGTTTGAGCATTGTCATCGCAATGTACGTGTGCGCGATAGTGACATTGCAGAGCCTGCGATGTAGGAGGCGTATGAACTCATCTAATATCAAGCGTAGCTGAGCGATCCACCAATCACATCTGTTCTTTACTCAGTTGCCAATCAGACTACCCTGCCAGTTATCAATCAAAATCAGAGAGAAGGAAACCACGGCCCTGCACATGGAGTGAGTCGCTGGTACTGCTGGTGTTGTGCCGAGAAACGCGTACCCGCTGAGAATTACTTTTGGAACAATACTCATCACTGTTTAGCCAAACAAATAAGAATTGTAGGGGTTTTAAAATTGTACATTTCCTTGGACCACTCTACTATAAGCGGTGTGCGTTTTGTGACGTGCATGCAATTCTCGGCAGGCATGCGCTTCACGGCACAACACTGGTAACAACAAGAACGATTGCAAAATGAGCAACGAACAAGAAAAATACACCGAAAATGAAGAAAAAGAGGAAAGTCAGTTATCTGGAATTGTTTTGATTACACAATTGATGATGTCGACCAAAACACGTTTTCCGTGTTCATCTGTTGCCACAATAATGTCCCAGCAAATTAAAAGCAAGCTAAAAATATCTCTGAGACAAACAAAAAACATTCTACTAAAGATTACAAAAGAGGTGAGATCAGTGCAGGTTAATTGTCCACAAGATTTCAGCAGTGCAAAATTCCTGTATATCACAGGGTTAAAAAAAATTGCAATGTTAGTTTTTTCCATTATCTTGCAGCCTTACAATGAAGCGGGCACACATTCAGTCAGGTATGTATTTGCATGTCAAAATTGATCCCAGGCTGCATTTTCTAGATATGCCAGTCTGATTTTGAGAAAGTTCAACTAAGTGCAACTCACTGAATCAAAAGTCTAGTTTTAGTCGGATTAACTCAACAATTCAACTTTCTGAAAAACATGTAAACATAGTGTCTTTGAGTTTCATAACTTGTTGAATAAGTTTAGTTAAAGTAAAGGGATACTCGGTTCAATGCAAGATTGCAAACTTCAACTCATGTGGGAATGACCTTTGTTAGATATTTTGATCATGAATGATTCACTCAAGAGTAAATATGGTGATAACCAACAAGTCTTGGCTAACAGCTTTACTTTTACTTTGACTGAATGCACTCAGATGTAACTCAAGCTAATAACCACCTCTCCCTAAAACACTTTGTGTAAATTTAGAGGCATGAGAAACAGAAAAGACATAAAAATAAGTTAATATGCTCTCTATAATGTTTGTATGTTAATGGTTCATCTTTAACTCTTGCAACACTGACGGATGTAATAACACATCTAATTTCCCCCACATTTTGAGTTCTCATCTGATCTTTAATTCCAGTTTCTGAAAAATAAAACGCTCACAATAGCTCAAGTCTTCATCCTTTGTTTGCACCCATTCCTGAACTTTTCAGGGGTCAATGCTGAGATGCACTCATGAAATTTTAAGAATGTGCTCACCATCTAATCAGCGTCACCAGGACACCCCTGCCTCACAAATCAAGACCCCCACCTCCTTGACCCCCTACCCACTTTTAAGCATTTTTCAAACTTATGTGTGGGCGGAGTTTCATTCCTGACCTGATGCTGAAGTTTTAGACATAAACTCAGAGTATGTTTAGCTGCCTTACACTCCCAAAGTATTTTCTTTCATTACCAAGAAGCAGAGAAGGTCTTTTTTTACAGCCAGTATGCAGTGACTCATGTTCTTTGTCCTGCTTGAATCCTTTGCAGTCTTACCACTGCCTTGCCACTATTGCATTAGTGAGTCCAATGTTATTGTAACCTTGTGAGAATCCTGAACAAACAGTGATAAATACAACAAGTTTGTAGCAAAACACAATTTCCTTGAATGTCACGTTATATTATCTCCACTAAACGCTCCCCAGGGTAGTATTTCTGCTCCCAGGGACCGTTTAACTGCCAAGGCTCCCGCATGGCCTTCAAAATCCCTTTATTTCCCTCCAAACAAGCCGTCTCTGCCAACACCGGCCACATTCCTCTCGCAGGGGTCAGAGTTCAGCTCCCCCAGTCTTACTTGAATCCTGACAGCCGGTACCCTCTCTGATTCAGAAGGAAGACCTCTATTTCCACAGGCTTTACAACAACAATGACATGCTTGTGAGCAAGTCCATCAAGTTTCCTGAGTAATGAATCGCTGTCCAACACTTCTACGTTTAAATCTCTCAAACTCATTTCTGCGAAAAAAAAAAAAAAAGCACATCTTAGACAAAACAACGTTTGGCCTGTGGTTAACCGTCAAACCTCCTCTGCTCATGGTATGCTTGCTTTTTGTCGCACCATTCTTGATTTGAGGGATAAAAGATGTTTGAGTCTTTGAAAGATGGGCAGCATGACTGCGCACAAAAGTGAAGCCAAACAATCCATATCTAAAACTCACAGTTTTTGGCATCTATGAAGATCTCAAGGATATTTTAACATAAAAATGATGCAAATCCAGCAAATAAGTGAAGTATGACATCTTCTTGCCCCCACATGGCGCCATAATGGGTGAAATATTACCACATGGATGTGTTCAGGCCGAGACAGATTGGTCAGATTGAAGCATGCAAGGCTGAGGAAAAAACTACTTCCTGCCTGTTAGCTTGCTATCAAGCAGATCAGATGAACGCTGTGTGATTTTCTGTCAACAAATCACCACAACGTTAAGAGACATTTCCATATTCTTGCCAACACTTTAGCGCTAACTTGTTATTTGATGCTATAAAAAGAGGAGCAAAACACTCAACCGGCAACCTCTGGAGATAAAGAAAGGAAGCCAGTGTGGAGGTGTAAAAGAACCTGTTAGACATCAAACATCTTATAAGAGACAAACAGATGGAACGGCTGTTTAATTTATTTTTATTTTTTTTACAGTCTATGATACAGTTATGCTATGATTGACAGCTCTGTTACTGAACGTGACTCCTGGGGCACCGTGTACACTAGATTTACAGAGTAGAGGAAAAGTGACATGTTATAAACAGTAACACTACTGGCATTTAAATTTGTGCACAACCAACTTGATGAGCCTTCTTTATTGTTCAATCTGCAACCTCTATGTGGTTTAAAGGGATATTCCAGCGTGAAAATAATTAAGGGTCAAACACACCGTAACACAGAGTTAGACACCCCCTCGAGAGATGAATGTTGCTGACCACTTGCTTCTCTAGTTATACCAACTTTAGTAATGACTGCACGATAGCAATACACAGCGGTCTGAGGAGCCATGAACAAACCTCAACCAAACCCAACTTTATAGCCACAAATAATGATCAGAACAGCTCAGAACTTCATCAACAGTATATATAGGGTCCCAGCCACAGCACATCTCTTTAACTTTGTCTAATTTCTTTAGCAAAGAGACTAAGCACAACTCACCTACTCTCTTCCAGCAGCCGCTTGTTTGTACTTAGACCTCAAGTGAGTCCATTACGGACTACAGCGGGGTGACGCAGCTCAAGGAAGAACATTTATGATCGTTTCTTCATGGAAATCCAATCAGACCAAGACGCCAAGGCAGAAGAACTACCATGTCTGCAGTACAAAATGATTAATATGGTGATTATTACTTCAAGGAAATGATAAATTAATGATCATAAATGTTCTTCCTTGAGCTGCGTCACCCCACTGCAGTCCATAACTGATTTGCCTGAGGTCTACATACAAACAAGCAGCTGCTGGAAGAGAGTAGGTGAGCTGTGTTTAGTCTCTTTGCTAAAGAAACCAGGCAAAGTTAAAAAAAATGTTTGGTGGCTAGTACTATGGCTGAAACCCTGAAGGTACTGTTGATGAAGTTAAGTGCTGTTCTGAGCATTATTTGTGGCTATAGAGTGGTATTTTGGTTGAGGTTTGTGAGTGGCTCCTCAGAACGATGTGTTTTGCTATCTGCAGTTGTTACTAAAGTTGGTAAAACTAGAGAAGCAACTCTGTGTTATGGTGTGTTTGACACTAAATTAATTTTACGCCGGAATATCCCTTTAAGGTCACAGCAGAGATGTCAGTGCCGACCAGCTCAGCCAGAACTGCGCAGACTCTCGGTCCATGAACATCATCAGCACCTTTACACTCGTTTAACAAGTAAAACATCCACCAAGTCAAATTTGAGCGAAGATCCAGCATGGATGTGTATGCGATACCCCATTTGTCCCGTACTTCCTCGTTTACATTTTACTTCCCAGAAAAAAAAAAGTGGATCTTCTTTGAGCTTTTTACTTGTGTAAATCAGCTGAGAATTAAAGGGCTGAGAACAAGCTTTGCATTTAGATTCTCTAACAGAGGAGCCCAATTAAAGTCACTGGTGTTGTCCAAGGCTGCAGGGCACAGACAGACTGACACCCTCTGTAGAAAACAGCCCACTCAGGTGGGAACCAACCAACAGCCTGAAAAGTGACTCCTCATACAAATCAGCCCTCTGTGATGTTTAATGCTCTCGCAGAGGTCATTAGAGCTGTGATTTGTATTTGCTGTTTTCTCCCCACCTCAGCCTGCATCTCTCATTTTAACCTCTACTAATGTTTTTACCACTCTGCAATTATTCTCTAAACATTCCTGCAGACTTTTCCCCCAGACTAGCCGCAGTCACTCTTACAGTTTGTGTACTTATGCAGACTGATGACAACCAGGGGAAATGTTCCTGCAGAATCAATAACAAGAAAACAAGATTTTCTTCTTTGCAACAACTAAAACTCAAGGATACTTTTGTATAGCACATCCCTGCTTGTAGGGTACACAGTTTGGTAAGACTGCAGCCCACACGTTATACAGCAATTATTCTTCTCATTCTTAGTGTGGTTTTTGAGAACATTTCAAAAGGACAAAAGATGAAGCCAGAGAGTTAAATAATAAATGTCAGACTAAGGAAACTAAAAAGAGTCAAAATACAAAGAAAAACATCACAGGAGTTGATTGTAAAGGTATCTGTGGAAGGATTTATTACCCCGTGCGCTCAACATCTGATCAAACTGTCCCTGAAAACAAACAACAATAATGCTAGTTTGCAGAAGTTGCTGGGGTATCCATTTCCTTATTTTATGACACAACCTGCTCTCTTTATCTGCCTGATGAGATTATATACCAGGAGGAGCAGCCTGTGGTGCACAGGATGGCATGATTGAAGGTAGCTGTTAAACTCAGCTCGCTGTTTGAAAGCACCCGTTGTTTGTGTCATTTATCAAGCGAGTCTAAGTGTTTACAGCCGTGCTAGCAGCCGTCTGTGAGGCTGTACTTAGGCGCAACGAGACATTGAGATGAATTCATACAGAGACATGATTGGATGCTAGTTATAATGATGCTAGCCTGGTGTTGAAAAGCAGGTGTGAGTCATGGAAATGTCTTTAGGACCCTATTTCAACTCTCTCAAACGTACGTTCCACATTGCATGGTGCAAAGTGAATGAGGGTCACTTACTTATCTAAGCTGCTGGTTCACATGGCAGTATTTTGTCCTGCATGCACAATAAAACCTAAGGTTATTATAATAACAATAATAACTTTATTTGTATTGCACCTTTTAAAACAGGGGTTGCTTTGACAAACAGGCATAAACTACATATTTACCAGAGTGTGCATGATAGAGAGCTTGGTAACGATCTCAGTCTGGAGTATTTGGCCCATGAAGGATTGAGGTGAAGCTGGTTTAGTGAGGTGAAAGCAATGAGGGTGGGATCGACCTCAATGCACCTTTCAGAAGGGGAAAATACTAGTGCCTCTGTACATTACACCTTATCCAACAGTTTTGGGTTACTTTCAATCAAGCACAATTTTAGTTTTTTGCATGTTGAAGCTCAAGTTAATTCCCTGTTTATTTCCTCTTTACTCACGCCCGCTGTTTTCTTTAACTTTCTGTTCATTGTTTGAGTTGTCTGTTTGGGTTTGCTTCCATTGTACCTCACGCAGTTTTTGTCATCTGTTAATATTTGTGACTGTATCTGTTGCTTGTTTAATGGCCGATATTCAGTGCCTGCATATGGTATTTGTACAGTCCTGGTAAATATTTAAACAGGAGGACATATATATCATTGCCTTTGTTAGGCTACAGACCTGTTTAACATTGCTTAAAATCCTGCTGATGCCGTCTCGGCTTCATAAAGTCCAGCCTTGATGCCTTTATTGACATTTGCTTCATACGTGTCCTGCATGTTTCATACACTTTACTTCTACAGCAACATTCCCACTTGCTCCTGTACTGTTGTTATTTCCACATGTACTTTTAGCACTGTTTTGTCACAAAGTGTTGCTCGCACTCTAATTAAAGTGGTGTTTTTTATTTAGTTTTTTTGTTATTGCTTTTGTGGAGCTTATTCTAACATCTGGCGAGGGACTGCAGATGGAAACAGTCTTTTGGTAAAAATAAAAATAGATAAATAGAAGTCCTCTCTTACGTCTTGTTATCTCCTTTTAGTGTTTCTATTGTCCTATTACCAGTTTCTCCCTGTTAAGTTGCTGTTGACTCTTTGTAAACTCCCGAGAAACTTCCTGTTGTTTCTTGGCTGATCTTTCTCGGTGTATGCACGAGTTGGTTTACCTGACACAAAAATCTCAGGTTGTTATTGTTGCTGCTGGAAAAGTAAAAACAGGTGGTTTTTTTTTTCAGAGTGCTGTGAGCTACCTGGTCTGACACCCACCCCTTCGCAGCAGTTTACAGACATCAATACTTACACACAAAAAAAAACTAAAATTCTGTTTGCTTTTGCAGGTCATTTAAAGCTCCTATAAGGAACTTTTGGAACATGTCAAGTATGGCGCCCTTTGCTGACAAAAAGTCTCTGCTTCTCTTGACCTTTGGCCCAATCCCAAACCGCCCCCTACACACTAGCCCTATACACTCTCCCACCGTTTGCATGTCCCCGCGGAGGCTCCGCCATATTGAAGGCCGTCCCAAACCACAGAGTGAGGAGGGCGAGTGGATCGTTCAGCCCTCAAATAGCGAGCCTGCACCGGTGCACTCTTATGGCAGGATTTGCAGCTAGTGCGCCGGCAAAAATGGAGGAGGAGGAGGAAACAACATACAAATTTAAGTTCTGTGCGTGTCCACCTTTGTCTCACTGACAAAAAAAATCACAAAAGATGTGGTTTGGAAAGAGCAAATGGAAGTCGGAAATCTTACTCTGTAGTGAGGTTTGAGTTGATCACGCCGGCACGTCAAATAGTAAAGGGGTTCGAAGACGTGTGGAATAACTAACAATCAGAAGTGTAATTTAGCTCCTGTCACTCTAATGGTTGCTGGATTTGTGATTTTACTGGGAGGATAAAGAAATGAGGCAGCCGGTGCGGCTCAGAACGGTACATGATGCCCGATACCTTTAGAAAAGAAACGCTGTCATGCACAGGACGCGCCTTTACGTTGCTATGGCGATGAATCTTTCCGTTTCTGGTGGAGTGAGGAGGGCGTTCCACACCCGCCCATCTTGTTTATACCCTCCCATTTCAATTGAGGCACTCTCCACAGCTGCGAGTGTACTTCATTACGAGTGACACTCTGTAGTGGAGGGAGAGTGTGTAGGGGTCGGTTTGGGATTGGGCCTTTGACTATCGGTGAAAATTGTAAAAGGAGGGCTGACACCTACCCCCTCACACTGGTTCCAGACTTTAAAAATTAGGATGTAAAAATCTTCAATCTTGCTGCTGATGGTCTTGTTTGTTTTGAATAGCTTGAAAAGGCATTAATATGGAGTTCACTGTATTTTATAGACGTAAAAAAAACTTCAAATAGGAGCTTTAAAGGCCTCTCAGAGGAGCTTTAAAGAATTTTTTTTTTTTTTAACTTACAGTGTACTCAAAATCTAACTAATTTATGAACTAAACTCACTTTTGGATGCAGCATTGTGAAACTTTTTGTAATACACACTACTTTCTATTTTTTGCATTGTTTTCTTTTAGGGACTATAATTCAGAGAAAGAATAAGTCGATGTTTAATTGCTGCAAACTCTACACGGGATTGAACTGTTTCATAGTCATTCAGTCAGACATTTGCTGTGAGCTTTGGCGTAAATAATAAGATAAACCTTGGTTGGATTCTTTATCTGCTTTACTTTGGGGGTGTTAATAATGTGCATGCTGGTCTACTGTCACACGGCCATGACTTACTGGGACACTTGAATTGAAAAGAGCCATTGTGAATGTTATTAGTAACACCTGGGCTTTTCATATAAAGAAATAGGGGGCTTATTTTGAAGGGAGGCAAAGGCTGAGCCCGCTGGTCCTTTGCGAACACTGTAATTATTTAATATGCACTGGGTAATTAAAAAAGTACTTAAGGTGTAATTTATTTTCAGCTTCATTCTAAATGGAAATGAGTTACCTCCCCCCCGAAGTGCCTGTACTTTTACCTACTGTTTATCAACCGGTGAATATTTAATTGGTAATTCATATTATAAAAACATTTACAGAACACACTGCAGGCTGGGCTTAGCTTACATAACCATGTTTACTGTAAAAGGAGAAAGCCTTCTCTGTTCAGTTCAAAGGATTTACACCAACACATTTTGATTTTATCAGTGTACCATCCCACTGTAACACACCTCAGCTGAATGAACCGTATGTTAGCAGCACCTTTCCAGCATTGTCTGCCTTGGTCAGAGAAATAAACAACAAAAAGGAGCCAGAGAACATACCTTTAATCTCTTGGATTTTGCCTTTTACAGGTAATTTTCTTCATTTTGATAATGTTTTTATGCGCACTGCCATGTCCAGATAATACAACATTGGATGTTTTTCACATTGAAACAGGCCTGATTAGAAGCATTTATTTATCAGAAGAATTCAAAGAGGGAGAAATCCACACAGACAACAGCTCCAACAGTGGACTTTCATTTACAGACAGAGCTGAGCCATCCCCAATTCAAATGCAAATCTGCTGAATAGAGGCTTTTGGAAATTTGTTTGGAGTAGAGAGTGAATGGAGTTCAACTCCAGCCCAGTCGTGCGTTAACAGGAGGTAATCCAAATCTGACAATCAATAGATGTTTTCAGATGTAAGCGATTTTGGGGCTGTTACAGTTTGATAAAAAAGTGAAAGCCTCTAATATCACCCCACAGCATCCTCGATTACTGCATGTTTTACTGATTACGTTTAATAAAAATCAACTCTGCTGCTCTGTGGAATTCAAAATGCTGGGAAAAAAAGTAGCAAAACAATTGAGACAGGAGCCACTCCCTTACCTTAAACAGCTCTCAGCAAAACGGAGGAGATGGAGTTTGCTAAAAATGAGAGAAAACATGTCTGAAAGGGTATAAATCTTTAATCAAACGGTGGTGACGTGCCTTGCCTCCAGCACTCGCAGTGCCAAGCTGCAGAGCAGATGCTGAGATCTCAGATCTTGCTTCCCCCCAAAAACAGCATAAATCCCCCTCTCCAGTACAAAAGTGTCATGGGAGCTGCTCTCTCTGCACTGAAGCTGCTGTGTTTTGGGTTCCCTCCTCAGAAACTCCCACAGGGACCCAGCACTATTTCGGCATTTTGAAAAGGGTAAGGAACAGGAGGAAGGGAGGCACATATTTAATCATTTCGCCTCAGGTTTAAGATCTAAAACAGTCCTCATATAAACATGCAAAAGTCACATTGTTTATTAAGTTTAGAACGGGCTGAGCATGAGCCGGTTAAGGAAATGACACCAGAAAATGATGTAGGATTCAGAGGATGGATATTTTCTGCTCTGAGTCAAGCTTTATTTTTGCAGATTGAAATGATAATTCATGTCTGTGTCCTATTTAATACAAACCTGCTATTTCAGAAAGCACCTTTAACATCTCTATTCAACTAAATCTGCTTTCTCATTGATCGCCTCCTGGAGGGCAAACTCTCCTCCTCTGGAGTTCACATTACAGGCATCTTGACAGTGTATGGATTTTATGGTAAGTGCTGCTAACATGCCGTACATTACAGCTGTAGTATGAAGAGGAAGTGATTATTTATGAATGAAACCAATTAATGGACGCGAACTGCAGGAAAAAAGCACGAAGTGCATTAGACAACATCAGACACATTTTAGAGTAGTATATACTGTAATCAGCGCGTCAGTGAGTGCTATTTGTATAACTCTATTCATATAAAGTGTTTTTATACGCCGATGATGCATTCATTCATCATTGGAGAGTATTTCAGCAAAGCAGAGACACTACGTCAAACTGTGAGGGTTTTTTTGTAGCTCAAAACAACAAAGAGATTATAAACTATAATCACGGTAAAGCATTGGTTATCTTCTTCCGTTTTATTTCTGTTGATAGCTGCTTATACCACTCAAGAAAGCTCAACCGTCTTATAGAAGATCGTTGCAAATGATCTGCCGCACACTCGTACACACAAACACGAGATTTCAAAGAGGCTCTGCTCACTCTCAGTGTTTGCTTTTATGCGCACATGTACCCACAGGAGCGCACACACTCAATGTAAACAGATGAAAAGAAAAAACTAGAGATCGCATACGGAGGCAGTTGTGTTTCTCTAAGAATACAAACATGCATATGAATGTGTGCATGATTGTAATGCACATGTACAGAACAGGATGGGAGGCGAATATGTCCCAAATGGCAGTCGATTATCCTCACTGGGAGGAGAACAACAGCAGAGGAGAATTAGTATGCATAATTAGTTTCTTATTCTCGTGGAATATTTCACACTCTATAGATATATACAGAGAGAGAGACAATCAGACCGAGACAAAGGGAGACTGATGCTGCAGGTAGAGAGAGGAGGGGGGAAAAAAGGATTCATTGAATGTTTGGATCTTAAAGTGAGAAATCACTCTTTCACACTCTATCAGAGAGAAAAATGAGACCATGTTTTAAAAAATGCTGATGAAGACAAAGGAGACAAATGAAGAACATAAAATCCAATTCATCATTCTGCCCAGTTTAAGGTGGAATTAAATATTTTACTGAGTGAGAGACTTGTGGATTTTGTTTTTTATAGACAAGCAAACACTCCCACTTTGTTTGTTAGTCTAAAACAGAAATATGTTGTTAGCTGTTACTGCTTCTGGTTTAAACTTGTTTTCAGAGATAGACAGACACTCTACACATTGACAGCTGGATTTGATCTCTCTCTCTCTCTGAATCTTTATCCATTTTTATCATCGATCCATCAGCCAATAGATGAAAAGCCTGGAGGAAATGCCAACCCAAACAACTTTGATTATCGTTGAATTATTAATAGCAGCATAAAAATAAAGTGAAACCTCTTTAGGTTCACTATAGCAGCTGTGATTTACATAAAGGCTGAGGGGAAGTAATTGTACCACTTTTGTATAGCTATAAAAAACTGTTTGCAAAACGTTATCCAACTTAAATTTTCCATAAAGCCCTGGAAAGTGGACCGGTTTCTAGTGTTTGCTGCACTAAGTGGACTCAGCAGAGGAAAAAAGTAAAGCTTATCACTTTATAACTTTTGATTCACCTCAAACTGGATTAAAACAACCAGAGCCAACATGTGTGATGGCTACTATGTCATCCAACTTCAGAAATGACTGAGACGGACACTATAAACGACCTGTCAGTTAGATAGACAGTGATGAAGATGGCTGATTGGACATTTAGCTACATGTCTTGACTGGACTATTGGGTGGATACAAGTCCCAGAAAGACCTGGACTGGGTATCTGCTTCATGAATGAACTCAGAAAAGTAGCTGGTACCTGATTGCCATCACATACACAACAAACAACATCCAGTTGTGTCCAAATGCCAACACAACACATGGAAAGCAGCAAACGTTCATATCACAATAACTGCGCACAATTTAAGACAGCTTGTCAGAGAGTCCACATATCACCATCCACTACTTGAGCTGAGCCATTTCTATGTGGAAATATTACTTGTAATTTATCACTTGAAATATTACCACCATTTTAATGTTTAGCGGCTGTGACGGAGCGGCGTCCTCACTGACCCGCGGCCAGCGCATGGAGCCACATGCACACACACACATATTAAAGCTAAAACAAACAGGATGCGTATTTGGAGAGTGGCAGCAGCTTTGCGTATCACGCAGCAAACAGGACTTTTAACCGCTATCTCTGTCTGAAGGTAACAGCACAGCATAAAGGAACTTAGTTTACTTTATTAAACACAAGTAAACCTGCAAAAACCAAAACTGTAAAATCACGTTGTTTTTTCACATAAAGTAGAGGCTCGACAATCACTGAATTATATCCAAATTAGCAGGAAATCAACCAAAGAAAGGCAAAACAACCTGTTGTGAGCATGTTGTTTCCTCTATACTGAGCCCAGCTGACCGCGGCTGCACTACGCTGCTGCTGCGCTCTAAATACGCATCCTGTACGCGATAAACGCCGCTGCTCTACGGAGCGGATACAGAACGCGCTCAATCCGGATCCTGTATGTTTTCGGCGTTACGCGCCAAACATTTCCCTCCCCGCCAGCGTCGGTAATACCCACCAAACAGCGATACTTTTCCTCCTCCCTTTTCTGTTGCATAAAGTAACCAAGGCTGCACAATTGTGGCCCTACCGGCTAATTTAAACATGTATTCACATAGATATTCATCTCTCCACTTACCTGCCGGGCGTCCATTCACGTCATCATGCCGGATCCGGTTTAAAAATGGGGAATTAGAGCGCGTGATTTCCGGAAGTAAAATAGGTGGGTATGGCAGGTCAAAGTGGTCACATGATACAAGAAAAATAAAATCCCTTGTTGGTTTGAATTTATGCTCCATTGATTTCTGTAAAAACTTACAGAAAAGGGTTTGAAGGTTAAAAATGGTTTAAATGTGAATAAATTAGTTCCCCCCCCCAAACTTATTAAATTGATAATGCCCACTGGGAGGGGCTAAGGGGGGTTAAAAGATGGCTGCCTGGACCTTTCTTTGAGTCTGGAGTTTGTTGCATGAAAGGTAAGTGTTGAACAAACTTTTGTTGTGCTGCTGTGTTTCTGTTTTTCTTTTTCTTGGGTGAGAATCTTGAGTTATAGCGGAACTCTTGCCTTGTTGGCATTTTCTTTTTTGCCTTCTACATTTTGTAAATAGTATTCAACTCTTTTTTGCACTTTTGTAAATATTTTTGCACTGCACTTCTGAAGGCCGTCTGTAAATATATATCACCATCATCGTATTTCTCTCACAACGCCTGTGTTTTTCCACTATGTTTTGATTGTTTAAGCGAGAACCCTGCGACAGGGAGCTTTGTGCATATTTAGTAAAATACTCTGAGTGAGGAGGCACATGTGAAAAAGACACTTTTTTCCCTTTTTCAAAAAAGAAAATGACATCAGTAAGTGACAAAACAGCGCTGGTGACGCTGTTGTGATTTCAGTATCATGGCTAAGCAACATGGACAGCTCAGTCCGAGGGAAAATCTAATATATGAATGTACTTTAGGAACAATAAAATGGGTACGTAGTTGGTTTCCCACTTACCAGCAATTTCCACCACATCCGGAACGGCTACAAAAAGGCCATATCCGCCGATCGTAGCCGATCATAACCATTCAAGTCAATGTGTCAATTTCCACCAGCATAGCAGACTGCTGTAGACTTTAAACTGTCTGAGTTATGTTGGTAATCGTTGTCCGTCACATTCATCCATTTTTGACCATTGCCCCCAGTTTTAATCAATCCGTACAACAAGCAGCAAAGGACGATAGTGTTATCACATGCATCACTAGAGTATGGGGATCATTTCAGGCCACGTATGCATAGCGTTAATCGTAACGCCAAGACACATAAGACTGAGAAAATAAAGCTGTAAAACTAAAACTGCAGACACACTGGTAAATGTGCCTGTCTGCTCGGTGTGGGCAGGTGATTTTCACTTTTTCTTTTTGTCTATTTTGAAAGCAGCCACTTGGTGAATCTTAAAAGGAGACAGGTGGGAGCACTGAGAGTTAACCAAAACATGAGTCGGTGGGGAAAAGCTTGATAAAGCTGTGTGGGAGGGAAGCTACAGAGTTGGATGAAATTCTTATTTTTCCTAGCACCGGGTGACCACTGTCACATAAAACAAACAATTTGGTCCATTTCTTTAAATAAAAGCAGCTCTAAGCCCCGAATGAACCTTACTTGCACTGCCGAACGCAACCCACAGCTATTTCCATTTTTTCGATAACAGGCGTAACTTGTCCACAACACTAAAACTCAGCAGGCTACTGCGACACACAGGCGACACTTTCTCTTTTCTCATTCCCTCTGGGCAATGCGCATCTGCATCTGAACCACATGGTTTCCTCTGAATTACGCTTAAGAAACTCAATCTGACAAAATGGGCTGAACTGTGGATCTGACTTCCTTACAACTTAATCTCTGGGTGAAAGAGAGAAATTATAATAAGGAACTGTCTGCTGCCTTTTAATAAACCAGGACAGCAAAAAAGCATTACCACTGAATAATGGGCTGTTTAAAAAAAACAATGAGTACATGTTTAATGCCAATAACATCACATATACGTGACCACGGTAGAAATGGAGTTATTTAATTCTGGCTTCAGCCTCCTATTAGCATTTCTCATCCCTCTTAACTCTTAGGAATGCAGCTTTGCATGATTTCACTCAGAAGTGGGAGTCTGACTTCTCCAAAGGGATTTATCAAAACCTTTATTGCGGTTCTATTTGTAACTGCTTTCCATCCCAGGACTCCTACAGCTCATCCAGCTTAATCACTGACCTATGCAAACACTCAATAGATTCTACTTCACATTAGAATTTATGCAATTACTGTATACTCTGAGTCTCTCGCCTGCCCTGAGAGCGTGACTGTGTGCAGACCTGACTAAGCTAATAACCTGGATTCAAGGATCTCTGAATATAAAAACCTCACACAAAGTATCCCGCATTTTCTTTCTGAGAGTTGGAGACAGGGATGTAATGCATAATGAAAAGGGATGGTTCATTCTTGAAAGCCCTCCCCTCCCCCTCCTGCCCGGGGTTGTGTCTCTCTGAACGTCTGGCTTCTTCTATGAATTATGAACTATGATCCCCACAGGCTCCCGAGTGGCCGCAGATGGATTTGGGGCAAAGCTGCCCATCCCAGCAAGTGGTATCTGAGGATGTATTGTATGAGCGGATGCAGTTGTTTGTGTGAAGTGCTGCTTGTGCCCTTGCCCTCTGTGTGTACCACGTTGGTGTCAGGTTAAAAGAAGGGCTAAATGGGTCAGAGATTCCTGCGTGTGAACAGGTGTGACTGGCAAAAGCCTCTTTCATAGATCTGTGGATTTCTTATTGTTTCATGGTAGCACAACAGATATAAAGGGATCTTACAACCTCGGATGCTCCGCAGCTTTAAGCAATCAGGGCGCCTTTGGCAAGGTTTATACCAGGACAGCAAACAAACCCTTTCTATTCAGTCTGCAAACAAACTCAACTTTTTATATGTTACTTCAAATTTGAATTGCAAATCAGCTGATTGCGTGCAGGAACATAAATAATCTATTTGAGAGGTTTTGGTTTGCTTTTAGACACCACTATCATAAAGGCTCTAAATTGCTGTCTCTTTGCAACCGACTACGGAAAAATACCTGTTTTGATCTTCTGAGACCTTCTTGTGGTTTTTGACACCCCTGATCATGTGATTCTTCCTGACAAGCTCCAACACTGCGCTGCCAGAACACCTTTAAAGCTGCTTTTACTTTCTCTCCTGAAAACTGTAGATCCTCTTGAGTTGAAAAGACTCAGCAGGATTTCCCCTTAAGGTTCAGATCTGTTTTCCCGTTCTATGCTACCTTCAGGGCAGGTGACTCACAAATATGAGGGGTTACCTCTTTGAGTCAAGTGGCCAAGGGGTGACATATTACAAGATATTACCCTCAACTCTTACGCAGATGACTCAGCGGTATCTTCTGAACCACATGACATTCAGAAACTCTCCTTCTCTGTTCTCTTAACCTTTAAAACTGAATGTTGCAGCTTGGTATGAAACACATTTAGAAGAGAAAGTGGCAGAGGGTTGAAGCTGGTCTAACAAAATTGTCTTTCATTTTTACTCCTTGGTGATGGCTCTTGAGGAACTGAAATATTGGTTTGTGGTCCGGGCGAAATGTTAGAGCACACTGCAGACTGGATCACACTGACTTTTTGCAAGTTTCCAGCTCAGTCTAGGGTATATATGCACCTCTGTTATGTTTCATTTGTAGTATGTAAAATCTGAGTCGTTACTGAGGTGCAAAGTCAACTTTTATTACCTCCAAAAGTGGATCAGAGGTGCTATGCTCATCTGGGGTTGTAAAAGAGGCAATCTTTAGTGTTCTCAGAAATAAAGAGAAACCTTGGAGCTAGTCCAGGCAGGCAGCTTGAACCGAACTGATTTAACAACTGAAATTTTTACGATGTTCATGTGCCGCAAGAAACAGTTTAAAGCATAAAAATGTGAGTTTTAACTTTGTGACATTTCTGTTGCAGACTAACTATGTGTGTAAGACATTCGTGGAACTTGGAGGATAACACTGTGACTTTTGTTTGGTTGATGTTTGTAGCCCCTGGATAAAGAAATGTAATTTGGCAATAATGTCAAAAGTTCAATGAAGGTGGTTTTGAGCACAACATACTTTTTAAAGACCCACTCTGGTGAAAATCATGTTTTTCTTGTTGTTTATATGTTTATATGGCATTTTTCTGATGCCACAGGACGTATCATGAGAAAACTAAACGCGAAGTTGCTTTTCTGAGTATTTCTTTATTCAAATTGCTGTGAATCTCTGGCAGACCCAAACGGCAGGTTCAGAAACAGAAAGGTTTCATACGTAACCAATCCAAGCTATGCAGGCCACACTGTGCACATAGAGGAGAAATACAGAAGACGATCGCGGAACAAACGTGTGCTTTAGTGGATTGCAATGCTCGTAAGAAAGCTAATCATGAATTTAGCTTATATCGTGTCCCTAAAGACATTAGTGTCCGAGGGTTAAATAGCTCCTATGTTACCTGCCACTTCTGCTGCATTAGCAGTGTTAGGCTACAAGCTAACGCAAAGAGGAGAGTGCAGAACAGCGCTGTTTCTGCCCACGACTCAGAGGCGAATTGCTAATAATCTACTGGAGCTCTGCAGAAGAAAAGCCTTGAAAATGACACAGGAAATGTGATTTTTGGTAAAAACTTCATAATCACAATTTAAAGTGCACTGAGAACACTTTAAGTAATAAAAAAATAAAGGAGTGGGACTTTAAAGATTCAATTCGTGCAACAATTTCAGCCTCTGATGCATATTGTATGTTTTGCTAATAAGCCAAAGTTGGCAAACTCAAGAAATAAACATAGCTGATAAACACATCGCAAGTAAAAACCACACCTACATAATGCTCGCTCATTAGTTAGCATTCCCATGCTGAGCACGCCAACTGATAGGATATTCAGCTCAAAGCAGTAAGATGGCCTTGGCTGTAGAAACTAACTCCAACAATTTTCTTTGAGTGTCCAAACATTTAAAGAGAAATGTTGCTCCCAAAATTTGGAACATTAATCATTTTTATTACTTATTGAAAATGTGTTAGTTCTGTTAGTTATGTAAAGGAAGGGATCTCAACTTAAAATGATAAAATCATCCTCAACCCAGTGGCGCACAGGCACTATTTGTTATTGAATTTAGGAATAGATATCAGTGTCTCTCAGACTTTTCTTTTTAATGCTATCCCCAAGTGATGACCCTGGCCACGGGATGTTTGGCATCTTTCTAAAGACTTGGAAGAAGTAAAAAGTTTGCAGTAATTACACACTTTAAAACTCTATGAAGACATAATCAAAGATAACACTCTTTTATCATCTCTCAGGGTTTCTAACTTGTTTTTCATGTAACTGTTAATTTATAACTTCATTAGGTCTTTATGCATCTCCTATGCATCTCTGGTCTCCCTTTTTTGCCCTCCACTCTTTCTGAACACGCTCTGACTCCCAAGTGTTGTTTTATGGAGATATACAAAAAAAAAACATCCCTCCATATATCAGTTTTTATACACAGTCCAGGCTCTACTTCCTCGTATATGTGTTTTTTATAGACTGTGAGTGCAAATGTGACATGTGTGATAAATCACAAACTATGGCATGCCTCTTATCTTGCTTTTGACATATTCTCCAGCGCCCCGGCTGCAGCCTCCAGAGAAACAAAGCAGCTCAAGAGGGCTCTCAGACATCAGTGAGGCTCCCATACAAAAATAATAACAGGATGACACCACACATGACTCAGTGTATAGATCCGGAGATAATAAACCAGTCAAAAACCATTGCTTCACCACAACAATGCCCTGGCTTTTACAGGACTCCTGTAGCAAAAGGCCTCCTCAGCTGTACATTATTGATGGGACTTAAATTGAATGAGCCATTGTTCCGCCATCGATGGACACAAGGCGTGTGTCTCCCTAACACAGAGAGTAGCGGTGAGCAGTGTAGCGGTGGGGGAGGGGAGCAAGGGTGGGTGACTCACCCTATCCCGTCATGCAGCAGGAGATTCATCCATCACATTAAGAGGTGCCGCATCAATCATTAACAAGTAGCCCCCTGTTGAAAGGATGATGGACAGCTTGACAAATAAGTTAAGATGAAGTGGGACAAGGTGATGCCGGCCTTTTTCACTTTCCCGTCAATTTATTCAAGACACAACAATGAAACATCTAAATGCAGGCAATGAAATGATCCTGAATAGAGATTGCCATAATTCTAAAAGGAGGAAAATAATAGATAATGGGTCCTCGCTCAGAGAGCTTTAAGCTCCACTAAACTGAACTCGCAGAGTGAATTTACTGATGCTTTTAGGGATTGTGCAGCGCTCGGGCCGAGACGACACTAAATACTTTTCTCATGGGTGGCCGACTCTTCTTAGAGAAATTCCTGTGGTTTTTTCATACTCACCCAGGTGTAAGGGATGCATGCTCTGATAATCTAGAAGCCCTAAAAAATCCTTGAGAGGATTTTAACTTCAGGTACGAAGACAGATTGGAGCCGTTCATCCGAAATAGGATTATTCCCCTTTTGGAGGGATTTGACACTTTAGCTGTCTTTATTCTGAGTAAAGTTTGGAGGGAAGACCAAAACCTTAAACCTGTTTGTCATCTGTCAGCATACCTTAGACCTGCGCCTACTTGTAAAGTTACCTGATGAGGGGTGTGAGCGGGTGTACGGACTCAAACAGTATTTAAAGTTAAGTGGATCAAATGACTGTGTGCTGCGGAGGAAATCTCACATTCATTAACAGCCTCTGTAGTTTCCTTCTGTGCAGATTTTCAGCCACTCTCGTTTTGCTTATTGTGGTCCCAAATGTAATTTTTACCAAGTTTTACCAAATTCATGAGTTTCATCAGCAGAGAACAGACGAAAAATCACAGAAAAATTGTGTTTCCTTTCAACAGCAGACAGAAAAATTAGCAGCTACCTGGTGAGCAAAGCAGA